GGAGAGTGATATTCTTCTCCAAAGACTACTTGTCTGTATTTAAAATGATACAATATGGTAATTGCCAGAAATCAGTTGTTTGTTTTATTTGACTTATTTCCTAACAGATGTTAACACTGGCTTTGAGCACAGAAAGTTTCTCTGCTTCCACAGTGTCTCTCTTAAGGCTATCAAAAGTGCAACCGTATGATCACTTACTATGGAGTGAACAGGCCAAATTTAGGCATGCTTATTTCCCAATAAACTCACATAGGATTGTTATGCAATTAACTTGTTTTGGTCAAGCAACATCCAAGGGACAGAACACCTCACTTTGCACAAATACTGCCTTGTGATCAACTGTGATAACTACTCTACTGCAGAACAATCTTCAGTATCTCCCCAAACCATGGGCAAACTAGGGTAGGCTTTAAAGAATGAAGCTGGCAACTATGTTCTATTTCCTACTCTGGAATAAGAGTGAACAATGATCTTCATACTGAACATAATCTGCACACTGCATGTGCTCCCTGGGTGGTTTTTGCTGCCTTCGGGTTCCTACAAAAGTTTACCACCAAAATACAGCAACAAAGAGTTCCAAGGGACTCCCTGAGCTCTTCTGTGGGGTGACCAGAAAAGCGACCTCACTCCTTTAACCATGGCATTTAGAATTGGAACTAGCAATTTTGGTACCTGCAAAAGTGGCACCATCTCCCATCCACTCCACTCTGAACAAGAATATGACTACATCGAGAAAAATAAGGAGGAAAAGAAAGTGAACTGTGCTGGAAGATGTTATGGTTTATTTTTCTTACCCTCATCAGCACAGTTACCTCTATGCAGATTTTGGCACCCTTAAATTCCAGTGCTGTGCGGCAAAGGCTCTTCTAGTTATAGCTTTGCTGGCTATATGAAAAAAAAGTGGCAATTGTGGAGAGTTCATCTCTGATAATAGATGTACAGTGTGTTGCTGCCATTTCTTTCTAACCCGCTTTGTTTTCTTATGGAGGAGTTTATGAGTCCCTGTTAATGCTGCACTGCTGCCATGAATCTTCTCTTCCTCCCTTCTTTCGCCTTGGAGGGGTAGGGATTTCTCCTCCAGAATCGGCAGGAGGCTGCTGCCTCTTACCACTACATGCCTTCTTCGCCTATAGGGGACTGCCACCACCACCACTACTTCTGTAGCAGGGGAAGTACCATAATTTTTCTATCACGAGCAGTTTGTGGGCAGGTGGAAACCTCGTAGAAAAATTTCAGAAGAGCCACCTCACTCTACTCAAGAGCTGCCACTGGCCTCTATGGTAGAAGTAGGGAACATTTGTATTATCACTCCCAAGACAGCTGTCCTAATTAGAAGCATCTCTTCCAGCACCTTTGTTAAGCTGAAAAATATAGCATGCAATTTAAGAAGAAAACAATTAAGGTTGGCTTTGAGAATGCACATTTACGGTGTATTCTCAGTTCTGCTGTGTAGGGTGGTATCATGGATCCCTAACACAGCCTACTATAAATAAACACAGAAACAGTTGAAATATGGCTTTATCACAGGATGCGAAGAATTTCCTGGTTTAAATGGGCAACCAACAAGGTACTAAGGGAAATTAATAAATATAAAAGAAACATAAAAAACAAAATGCAGAAAACAACACAGATTGTTGCTGGTGGTCATTTAAAGTAAAATAAACAAGCAAAAGAGGACATGAAGGAGGGAAGGCAACAAGAGTAACACAACATGAAAGATTGGAGAAATTACATTCAAAGTCTGAATAACTGCGGTGACATTCAATCTCTGGTGGGAGAAGAGCAATGAAAAGAAGAAGAAAAAGATATGTTTCCCTACCAAAATTCTATAGCACAATTTCTCACAAAAACTTGTGAGCACTGAAGCAGGGTGTGTGGCCTGCAGTGGTTGGGTGGGGAGGAAACTAGTCCTCAGATATATGGAATGTGTCCACCTCACTAAGCAAGAGAATCCAATACTATCAGGAGGTAGCATGGCACACAGAAAGCTTTAACTCACCCCCCTACCAAGATTTCAATTCTGAATAAGGCCTGTAATTGTTACTCAAAAATGTGATCCATCAGTTTCAATAAGCAACTTTTTTGCAATACATACTATAGGAGTGGCAACAGAGTTTAGGATAATAGCAGGGGCCAGAGGTAATATGTCTTAACTTTCTCATCAGGGTGGCCACGCTTACTCTAAAATAAGAAAAAAAGATGTAGCTGCTGGATATTTTTCAAATATGTCACCTAATTTGGTCCTTAATATAGACATTATACAGTTCAAACAAAAAGGACGTGTGAACCTGAAGTTTGCTGTACTGCACACTTGTTCTAGACATACTGCTATTCAAATCCATGTTGTTCCCCCAGACCAAGAGGATTTAAGCCCCAAAGAGCAGTTTGAACACTAATACTCTAATGGCGATTGTTCCCCTCTAAATTACATGTTTCACTCTGTTCTCCCACTTTATTGTTTCCCTCTTTACTTCTTTAACTTAAATACAGAAATGTCCCTGTATTCTTTTTATATATTGCACACTAAGGTTGGCATAAGCTGTAACTTTCTCAAGAAATTAATTCCCTTTATTACAGAAGCTAGCCTGGTTATTGTCTTCATAAACAGGCACCTCTGCTTTGCCTTGACATTGGTTTTGCCATGCAATGCACATAGTTTAGACAAATAACTTCTAAAAGCAATAGAGCCATCCATTCACATCATCCTGATACAGTGATGTGATGGCTGCCCACTTCCACATTACAGATGTTCAAGTCATGCTCTATAGAATTGTATGGGGCATGGACACCATATCGGAAACAATCCCTTGAACATCGAGCCAACAGGATGCATTAATAGAAGGGAAGAAGACTCCGTCTCAGTGGTGCTTACAGTACCTGCCTTAGCTTTTTGATGGAGTTCAGTATACAAGGTGGTGAAAACAGCTGGAGAAGAAGGAACAGTTTGGTTTTGGAGTGCAATTATTCCATTGTCATGTAACATTGCTAGTAAGTGACTGAAAGAAGAGCTCCTTAGAGACAGAATTGTGTGGATCATACAAAGCTTATTAAAATGCAAGTTTGCTATACTGTACAACTATGTTTCATTATTTTTCAGACAATGATTATTCACAGAAATAACTTTACAGCATTTCACATCTGGTCATTGACTCTGTTCTGCTACAATACTGTATGTCTAATTACTGTCGAATTTAATTAGACCCTGAAGTTTGCAGTTGAAATCTCACAACTAGTGATATCTTCCACTTAACCAAGCCCAAGTGGAGGATCAAGAGATCCCTTTATGGAAGCAATTTTTGCCATGCTCTGAGGGGCCCTCATCAACCCTGCCCCTCCCATTTTAATTATTATTTTTTGTTACTAGAGGGCACAGAGAAATGTTTTCTGTAAGCCCCCCGTTTTATATGTATAAGACAACAAGTTAGGGAAGGGGCTTCAGGAATGGCTTAGGGATGGCCATGTGCAACCTATAGACCACTGTAGATTGTCCACCCCAATTGCCCTTCCCCTTCATTGTCTCTGCACACATGCCTTTAACGCCTGTACAACAGGCTGAAATTCAGTTGGCTAAACTTTTTCCAGCATGAAAATGGAGTGAAAGACATTTATTTAAAAACACACACCCCACACACAAGAAGTTCAGATTCCTTGCCAAAGAAGGCTACAAAACATACCTGTTAAAACTAAACACATAAATGGACTTTTTCTTTCCAACATTATGCTTAAATTTTTAACATTACTAATTTTATTTATTTTTTACAAAACATCACGTGGACACAATTTTCTTTTCCTCTTGAGGATCTCTTTTTAAAATCTAAATGCTTTCAAATGTATTCAATGTCCAAATGACCTTACAGTAATAAACTGATTTTTTTGCAGCTAGCTTCAGCTTCTTTAAAAGAAAGACTTTGAGGGTTACTTTGTGAAGCTAAGAGACTCGGGCATCCCTTCTGCTGCGACCTGTTAAGAGCAAGTCTAAGCAACTATTTCAACAATATACAATACTTGGGGTGAATATCAGTGAACAGAAATGCACCACACTAGCATGCTTGCAAATATAACCATTTGTGCAAACAAAGCCACAGCACTGGACACTGTGAGTTTCACATAGCTTCAGTAGCTTTACACAGACTAATTAATCACATAATTAGTACTACAGGAATGGACAAAGTCCAATTAAGGCATTATTGAAGCTTCTATATAGAAAAAGGATTTATACCATAGATATATAGTATATTTAGAAGAGCATGCTATTTCCAAGATGCACAACAATTAATATCTCAATGTACTTTTAGACCTTGGACATCTCCAGCGTATGGATTTCTAGCTACGCAGACCAAAGAGAACAGGAAACATGGTGGTGGTAGTTGTTTTGTTCCATTCTTCCAGGGACAGAGAAAGAAGGAATATCTGGAGTCTTTTTTGATGGGCTGCCAAGTTTTAACACTGGGATCTGAGTATCTTTGGTCATACACAAAAATAACTTGGTTTGGATGGTTTCTTTATTTTTCAAGCTGCATTTGACAGAAACTATTTTGATTCTGGCAGTCCTAAATAGGATCATTAACAATACCATCAATTCTTAACCTATTTCAGTTGGGACAAGTAATTAGGTTTTCCAATAAAAGTGTTCAAATGTCCTACTTTGCTTCCACAGAATCCAGCACAGTACACAATACCTATATAATAAGTAGCCAAGTCATGCAAAATGGCAGTTTAATGATCCCAAATGATCATCTTTTGTCAACCGATTCTACACACACTCCTGTGCAACAAACTGTGAAACATGACTTTTTGCATGCTAATCTTATGAATCAAAAACTGTAAAGACAAAAGGAGTCAGAGTGAAAAGTGGATACTAGAGAGCAGGGGTGGGGATGAAGGAAGTGGTAGCAATAGCAGCAGCTGCGCAAACACCAGTGCAGAAACCAGAGACCCATCTGCACTACTGCCAGATAAAAGCATCATTGCTAGTTAAAAGGAAATGCACAGCTGCAAACCTCTGAAGAAGGTGGCCTGCGAAGAACCAAACTCTTTGGATAAAAGAAACCAGATGAAGAATGCTGCCACAAAAAATATAAAAGAAAAGAAAGTGAAAAGGTGAAAGTTTCTTCTATATTTATATAAAAACAAAGGTGGGGGATTTTCTATGATAAGACTGCTAACTCCTTAAAATCACTGAGAATTATAACATCAATAACACATCCTATCAATAGCAGAATCACCAGCTGGCAGGCATAAAAGAAGGGAAATAGACCATTTTCAGTGGCTATACACCAAGCTGCCTGCTTATTTTGGCATCTTGAACGTTCTATGAAAAAATTCAAAGGGGAGTGGAGATTAAGTAATCATTGTTTTTTGGACTCCACCTATAATCTAAGCCAGTGAGTGCCCTTCAATTAGGAGTACAGGATCCAAGGCAAAAGGCAAAATACAATAATGACTGTTGAAGGTGCTTCATAAACAAGTGATTCTGGTTTATGCTTATTTTGACTTTCAGAAGGAGAAAAAATGAACATGACTTTGACCCCAGGGAGGATTAAATCATTTCTGTGTCCACTATGTCCTAAGAAATATTTTTTAATATTTTGAGTCTGAGCAACTTTGTGTGCTGAACCATCCTCAGCTATGAAGAGAGCATTTGTTTTCATAAGAGAGAACAAGGAAGAGATATTTGGAGAAACCTCTGCAGTTTCCTTGGGTACAAAGAATAAGCCAGAAGGTTTCTGAAAGGTCAGCCTGAATGAGAGGAAGGATTCTTATCACGCTAGTGTTATTGCTGGGGATGCTGAAGAACAGCTGAGGATCTCTTGCTTCATTAGCAGCCATGACACTGCCCAACACTGACGACAGCTAAATGTCTGGGTCAATGCCAGAGCACAGTGGCTGTTCAATTTAATTCAATTTGTATGTGAACTCATCATGGAATCATTTAAATTACACCATGCCTACAATGCCACAATTTACAAGCAGCTCAACCTCAACTTACTCAAGAAATTCAGGATGCAAACCAGTATACTATTAAGTAGAGTGTACTATTAAATCTTACTGGTTTTCATTAAATATCCACATACTTAATGACTCTGTTGTCCCATTAGAATTTTGTGAATTGTTTATATTGCTTCATTTGTGTGGCAAAGAAAAAAAAATTCCCCTCCAGATCAGGAGGCTCTCATTTTGAACTATGTACTGTATTTCCCATTCCTATGTGGAAATACGCTGCAAGAAACATCAACCTTGCTGGCAAATTCCAATGAGGAAGTTATTTTAACATGTTACAACAAAAAAAGCCTTACTGTACTTAAAAGATTTAGAGTGAAATCTTGTCTAGCTATGGTGGGTGAAGGCTAGCTCAGGTGACAATTGGTGAGCCAAAGCTGTGTTCAGTCCAAACCTTTCCTGTATTGGAAATTACTTAGGACTACCCTATTTTGGACCAACTTTGTGCTGGCATGGTGGCTGCATCCCAGAACAGGATCCACCATAACTTGACTCTTCAACTTTTCTCCAGACTCTCTTTATATCTTCTTCCATCACATCTTATTCAGCAGAGTTGTTCTGCTGGAAGATCCTTCTATTGGGAGATCTCTGAGATCAGCCATAAGAAGGGGTTCTGCTGGCTCATGGACTTTTTTTTTTGCAGGCATAAAGAGATTTATGCTGGCAGAAGTTTTGCCTTTTCATACTATCTACAGCTGGCAGATCTATGAATGAAAATTGCACTGCAAAATTGCACCTTAAGGTTTTTATGGTCAATGTGTGTGACCCCAGAGTCTGCTCTGGAAAAATGGGAAACCTTAAATGGCACAGGACACCTGAGCAGCTGTGCTCAGAAGAAACATGACATTGGTAGAATTCATATCCCATATTTCTCCAGCAGAAGCTTCTGTTGGATGTAATTTCCTTCTGCAAACAGAAGGAACATTTCTATTTGCACAACTGAACATCTGTATCCAAATCCATTAGTAAGAATAAAATGAACTTCCCAGAGACCTGCAGATGAATGGCAGGAATGTAGGATTATAAAAAAAGAGGAGCAAAGTCTGAAATGCTAACAGAACAAGCAGGCAAACAAACAAAAATGGAAATGTAATTTAAAAAGAAAAGTACTCCACACATTTCAATGGAGATATTCCTCAGGGACACTCTTCTCCAAATAAGGCAACAGTTCCTCAGTGAAATATGCTGGACAATTATCTGTCTTATTAAACTTGATTTGCCCCTTTTACTGTCTTTGTGACTTTTCTTCCCATCTCTATGATTGCTTATATTTGATGCTGCCCCTTTTTTCTCCCAGGAATTCCAGGGTGTCCCAATGTTCACTGTAGTATGAATGTAGTGCTCCTCTTAATCCACACAGACAGTTAAAATACCACTTACACAGAGGAGCATTTGCGTAATGGAGTCTCTCTCCATAGGCTTCTCAGCAGCAGAAAACTATATTTGGGTCAAGCTGCTTGCTTGCTGTGTAGAAAACATGTGAAACCTATACATACGGGTCAGCCCTAGATAAACAATATGCAATTTTGGGTATGTCCCTATACCTGTCCACTCAGAAAATAAGCCTCACTGGCCTCAGGTGAATGTATGTGCGTGTATATGATTGCACCCTCATTGCCATAAGAAGCTATGATTTCTGGAGATGGGAAAAATACAGGAATTGCAAGCAGAACCTGTGAAGACTGCTATTATTATTCAAACATATTGTTTTTATACTTCAAAAGAAAAATCTTGAAAACTTACCCGTAGCTTTTCTTCTCCCTTTGTGGACTGCTTACAGTCCGGATGCCAAACTGTAGAACCTAGTACAGAAGAATAGCCAGTCAAGATATATTATCCTATTTTCAACTCAGATGAAATGCAAAAATGTGAGAACATTTTATTTCCCATCTGTAGGATGCAAATTACTTACAACCAACTCAAATCCCACTGATTTCAATGGATCTACTCTAATTATGACTAGATCTGGATTCAACCCATAATGAACAATGATTAAACTTTGTCTCTTCAAATATAAGTCAAAATTAGCTACCATTCCAATCATGATGAGTTTAACTTTAAGCCCCCTTTGATTGTGAGAAGAAGCATGTTTAACAGTAAAAACAAAAAAGAAATAATAAAGAAAGTGTATTTTCTTTCTTTCTTTCTTCCTCTTTCTTTCTTTAATTAGCTATAGTGTTTACATAAAGTAAAGGAAACTCTTTTCCCCAGAGAAGCAGAAGGATTACAGAGAAAATGTCAAGCTAAATGCCATGGGGAACCTTCATTTTGTAAGGCTATTCTCTGGCATTGTAAAGAAAGGGCAGTAATCACATTTTGTTTTATTGTCAGCTTGCTAGGCTCTAATCATGAATTCTCAGGAGTATGGAGGAGACACCCAGGCACTGATAGCCATTTTATGTCTGGGTAAAGAAGTCAAGCTTCCCAGTTAAGCCAGGAAATATATCAATGATCTGCTTGTCCAGGGAATATTTGACCCAGATGCAAAAGAAGTGGAGATGTTAACACTCTGGAGAGGGAACACAACGCTCAGGGGCTACAGCCTACCTACACACTTCCTCATCCTTCAGTTAAAGCTCCAGCTCAGCCATGGAGACTATTTCTCTTGTGGAGGAGAATTTTATGATAACTATATCCGAAGAGCATTCAGGGATGACACGGCAATAACATTTGGAAAATATTTAACAGCAACAACACCATCATAGCAAAATAGAAATTTGCATTAAATTCTGGATGGTGACAAATGTGATAGAATGCACAATTTCACAAAAAAGTTTAAAGGATGATCACAAGGATAAATTCTCTAAGAGCTGTGGAAGACCTGAGGAAAAAGAAATTCTTTTAACGTACATTTTGGCTGCACTTCAGGTGTATGTAAATAATAAATAGCGACCTGAAATGCTACAAATGAATTAAATTTGTATTTTTAATAAGAAAGGTCAAAGTTCACTCTTCATCAACAGTCCTGTTAGTTTTATTTATTTAAAACCTCTCTATTGTGTTTTTGTAAAGAGTTCAAAGCAGCTCTCAAACATGTGATATTCTTACCTTGCAGGTACATTTCTTCTCCTTCTGTGAACATTTGGTTGCACCTGCTGCATCGTGCACAGCTTGGATGGTAATGCTTGTCACCTGCCTGTAAAATAACAAATGTGAAAAAAATCATATGATCAACACCATACTTACATCACTATTTATCCCAGACTGTGATACTGTCATGACTCAAAATCCCATCCATGCATTCAACCAAGACATTTCTTGGGCCAAGAAACATTTGTTTCCTTTTAAAAGACACACCCAATTGCTTTTGACTATCTCCATCCCAAGGGAACAGCTGCTGTCTCCATGTGGCTGACATGCCAACCCATGCAACATGAGAACACACACAATAGCATCCCTCTATTCTACGTGCTATATGCTAATTTATAAACTAACATTCCACTTTGTTATGTTTCAGCTGAAAATCCCAATATTTCATGAGCATGTCATTTGTGTTTTTTCAAAAAGTTTTCATAGGAACCCTACAAGTTCTAGCTGTAGAAGTTAATATTTCCAGATATTTCTTCCTTACAAACACTGAATCATAGCCTGTGTTTCTGCAGAGGCCTGTCTTTATTTTACAAACCAGCTAACTTAAAATGAGAGGTTATTGTTGTTTAGTTGTTAAGTCGTGTCAGACTCTTCGTAACTCCATGGACCCGATGGTGCAGGGCCCTCCTGTCTTCCACTGCCTCCAGGAGTTTGGTCAAATTCATGTTGGTAGCTTTGATGACACTGTCCAACCATCTCGTCCTCTGTTGTCCCCTTCTCCTCTTGCTTTCGCACCCAATCAATTGTTCCATATCCAGTTCTAACTGTTGCTTCTTGTCCCACATATAGATTTCACAGGAGATAGAAAAGGTGGTCACTCCCATTTCTTTAAGAACTTGCCATAGTTTGTTGTGGTCCACACAGTCAAAGGCTTTTACATTGTCAATGAAGCAGAAGTAGATGTTTTTTCTGGAATTCTCTGGCTTTCTCCATAATCCAGTGCATATTATCAATTTGGTCTCTACTTCCGCTGCCCCTTCGAAATCCAGCTTGTACTTCTGGGAGTTCTCAGTCCACATACTGCTGAAGCCTACCTTCAGATTTTGAGCATAACCTTGCTAGTGTGTGAAATGAGTGCAATTGTACAGTAGTTGGCACATTCTTTGGCACTGCCCTTCTTTGGGACTGGGATGTAGTCTGATCTTTTCCAATCCTCTGGC